TGCCAGAATGTCTTTCTGCAGTAGGTCCTTGGTTTTGGAGATTCAGGAATGAACCCACGGACTACAGAGTTCAGTGATAAGATAGGATTTATTAGATAGAATGGAATAGAAGGATGGAAAGGCACCAGAGTCCTGGCAGATGGGGAGACTCGAGGGAAATCCCCGTGTGGGTCTGTCATCTATTCTAGGGGCTTTATACTGTTTTTGGAATTACACTTGGGCAGGACTTTATGGAATTCAATGTTGATTAGCAACTGATTCCAGGTATTAACAAATGAAAATGAATCAGCTCCTTCAGCTGGGGAGAGAGGCAAGTGGCAGAGGTCCACTGAAGAAGTGGCTTAGTGGGTGGCACCTGTGGCTCAGTGGGTTGGGTGCCGGCCCCATGTACCGAGGGTGGCAGGTTCAAACCCGGCCCTGGCCAAACTGCAACAAAAAAAATAGGCGGGTGTTGTGGCAGGCACCTATAGTCCCAGGTACTCGGGAGGCTGAGGCAAGAGAATCGCCTTAAGTCCAGGAGTTGGAGGTTGCTGTGAGCTGTGATGCTATGGCACTCTACCAAGGGCAAGAAAGTGAGACTCTGTCTCTAAAACAGGAACAATAATAACAACAGAAGTGGCCTAGCTTACTTGAAGTCCGGGAAAAATTACTTTTCTTATGCCTTACTTGTATTCAGAGAGTGTAGTTTGGAGAGAAAAAATCTGTTTGCTTAGACTTGGAAAACAGGGGGGTTGGGAGAGTCTGTGTCCAGCCCAGAATGGGGGAAATCCTGTATCAAAAATGAGGAAGTGATGAAGATTTTGGATGACTATAGACAGATTGAGAATTTGTTATTATTAGTGGCAAAGGACACATCAATGTGGTCCATAGAAACTATAAGAAAATGGCCAGTGTGGTACAGACCAATATGGAATACAAATGTTGAGTATTAGAAGAGATATCTGACAGGATAGAAACTAGCATGATAAAAGATCCACATAGAAGGTTTACAAGCATAAAACTTCCTCTACCAGATTTAGGATCTTTTGACAACTATCTCTCTTAGTTAAATGAATGACATGTGACTCTATTTGATAGTTAACAAAACTTCCAAAACCAAAATTCTAAATTCAGTCTTCTTTTGACCTCAAATTAGCTTTTTCAATATTAGGCCTTTTTATTTTAATATACTTAGAAATTTAAAGATTCGGGAGTAACACAAATAGCGTCCATATTTTTTGCCTAGGTTCACTAGTTCACGAGTTTATTTTTGCCTCATTTGTTTTATTTCTCTGTCTTTTTCTCTCTCTCTTCCTCTCTCAACCCATAGAATTGTGAGCTAATCAATGGGTAGTGTTTTAAGCCACCAGATTTGCAGTACTTGTTATATAGCAATCTAATAAAAATAGTAAAATCCTTTATAATCTTTGGGTCAAATAAGAAATCACAATAGAAAATAAAGTGAGAGAAAATGAATGAAATCTTTTAAACTGAAGGTAAAGTGATTTAAGTTGAATAAACACAGCAGTGTTTGAGGCACAGCTACAACTGTTATTAGAGGAAAATTTAGAGCCTTAGAGTAAATACTCCCAGTAAAGGAAAAGCAGAAAGTCAACAACTTAAATTCTTTTTAAATAAATTGGGAAAGAATAGCAAATGAAGCCCAAAGAGGGTAGAAGGAATAAATTATTGAAAATGGCAGAAACTTGTGAACTAGAGAGAATAAACCAAGATTTTTCTGGCAGATGTTAATAAAATTGTTAAGACCTTAGCAAGAGTGGTCGTGAAAAATATCAAAGGCTTAAGTAATCAGCATCAAAATGGAAAAGGAACATCAATGCAGTTCCTATTATTAACAAAATAAGATGTTATGAGCAACTTTATGATGATCATGATAATTCAGAAGAATATTCTGGCTAATAAAACTTACTAAGACATAAAAGAATATGAATAGTTGTTTATCCATTTAAGACACTGAACCTTTAGTTAAAAACTTGCCACAAAGAGACCGTTGGCTTTCGTCAGAGAATTCTATAAAATCATCCAAAAGAAGAAATAATATCAATCTTACACACTTTTCCAGAGTATAGAAAAAGAACACTTCTTGCCTTGTGTGAGGATAGTCTAACTGGTCAATGATAATATGGTAGGACCTTCTAAGAATATAAAATTATGGATTAAATTTTTCATGATATTCTAAATTTTTTCTTTATAAGATAAAATCATAGATTAGAAAGATGGAAATAAATCTTATTCACAATCAATGTTTGTATATAGACAACTAAAAATTTATAAAACATTAACATTTAAATGTAAATTTAGCAAGATTACTGACTAAAACATGTATATAAAATGTATTTTTATAATAACGAATAAGAAATTAAAAATATCAACTTATAGTAGCATCACCAAATAATTAGGAATACATCTAACAAAAACTGAAAGGACTCTGCACTCGGAATTAAGATACTTTGAGAGAAATTAAGGAAAATGTCAGGATGTGGGGGGGATATTTTCATTGGAAGGCTTGTTATTTTAAAGAGATCATGTTTGTCTAAAACTCAGTGCTTGTTTTTGTGGAAATTGATTGTAAAATTTATATGGCAATGAAAGTTTTCCTAAACACAATTTTTGTATTTAGGATAGCTAAACCCTGGCATAAAAGAAAGGCCACATTGATTTTGAATTACTTCATTTCCTTTCATATTTTGTTTTTGTAGGTTGGTAGTAGTATGCTGGTTTTCTTTTATTATTGTTGACTTATATTTGGTAGAGCTTAGAATTAAAGAAGGATAATGAAACAAGGAGGGGAAAATTTACTACATATGCTGAATTTTTTTTTAATTTCTAACTTTATGCATTATTTTATTAATTTGCCAAAATAATTGTTGTTTGTAAATTACTTTGTATTCATTAAATGTTTTGATTCTTTCTTCTTTTGTAGAAGCATTCTGAAATACAACTGTCTGGGCTTTTGCTAGGATATCACAAAGTCAATTTCTCTAAACCTTTTATTTTATGATGTGTACTATTAGACTACCTTAGTCTTCAAAAAAACACCCACTTTTATTAAAGCTGTTCCCTGATTGAAAGCTCTAAGGATGATGTTATCCAAGAGGCCTCCATGGGCAATAGGCCTCCAGATCTGACTTTAGAGTTCACTACTAAATCATTCCATAGTTTTAAAGTAATTCTCTTGGCTCCTGGCCATGTGATGTTACCTTTCTCACCTCAGTACATTTTAAAATTTGTTTTTATTGTTCTTAATTATGTGCAAAGTCCCCTGTTCTCATTCCTAAGCAAAACCTACTCAGAAGAGTAAGCTTCTAGTTCATTGTATTATAAAGAGTTATCTGATCTTGTCACCATTTCACCTCTCTGCACAATGATCTGTAATACAGCTTGAGATATTAATTCATGTTTTAATTATGTTGAATTTCATTAACATCATGTAATTTAATGTGAAGACTTTAGGGTTGACAGAAACCTTGCAGCTGAGTGCATGGAGTCCTACAGAGATGAAATGATCTCAAGGTCATGTGTCTTAGTGTCATAGATCTCTTAGCTAGAGTAAAGTAGTCCTCTTGATCTATTTAAATTACTTAGCTTACATATGTTTAGTGTTCTTGAATTTGTAGGGTGCAAGAGAATGAAGAATATGTTAGATTATTTTACAGAAATTACTGAAGAAAATATAGCATATTAGTAAAGGCATGAGCTTTTGGGAAGACGTGGGTTTAAATACCCCTGTGAGTGCAAATAGGTATTATACCATTTAGCTAATAATACATATTTTGAGATTTTACATGGGATAAAGACTCTGAAAGCTTTAACTTCATATGAAAATGCTTGATCAGTATAAATGTTAGATGTCTTTTCTCTCTTTTATAGTGGAATTCTTTCAATTTGAATTCTTTTTCTATTACTCTATTACTATTACTATTACTATTACTCTACAGATCCCTGTGAATCTTGGGCAAGTTACTTTTCTGAAATCCAGCTTCCTAAATCTGCGGCATAGATTCAGACTAATATTGTTCTTGTGGGGTTATCATGAGGATTACTAGTAACATAATATCTAGCTCCTGGAACATATAATATTTTTAAGTGGAGGGTTATAATAGGAATGCTATTAACTGATGATATTATTTTAAATAATCTGTCCTCGCTGGCTTTGGAAAAATCATTAACTGTTGCGAGGTATGGTTATATAGAACATGTTATACAAAATTGCCAGTGAAAGTGGCAGCTGAGTCCAAAGTTATTTTGGTTCAGGACTCTTAAGATTTGACTTTGTTTTCTTTGTCCCAAACATAGAATGGCTCTTTAACTGAAAACTATTTAGGCATTTCTTAGTACTTTGGATTTACCTGCTGTAGCAGAGGACTGTATCCAGGATCTGTGGAGGTGAATATTACTATGTCACATAGTTTGTACTTTTAAATCAGAACATTTCAAGCCTTCTAAATTGCAGGAAATTTTCCCAGCCATTTTTACTTGCTATAGTAATAGTCAAAACAGGAGCTCAATTTTGTTGAATTGACCAAAGAGGAACACAAAGGAAAATGCTACTTAGCCAGGACACTGGGTAGCCCCATGAGTCTGTGCATAGGAGATTTCTTACAGCCTAATGAATGAATTTGCCTGCCTAAGAAGCGGGGATGAGTCAGATTCCGGGAGATTCCTTGTGATATGGGACAATTGAATTGGTAAGCCAAATAGATGTCGTCTCCAATTACCCCCTTCAAATGTCCCCTAAAATCTCTTGTTTCTATTGGTTGCCCAATGGCTGGTTAATTACTCACAAAGTGTTCAATGAATAGATTCATTGACTCTAGCAGCATACAGAGTCAAGAACATCTCAGTGTGCAGTACAGGACACTCCACAACCTTGTCTCAAAACCACAACCTACCTAGTCAATAACTAAACACAATGGGTGAGTACAGGTGTGTCAGGATATCAGTGTTTTGTTCCATGTTTTGTTTGAAACTTAACATTTTGATTTTGTTTTTAATCTTAGAGAGAATTTCCCAAGAGATTTGTGTAGTTATGGACACCAAAGAAGGTGAAGAACATATAGGTCTTCTTCTTGAAGCAGTGCTGAAATGTGAATTAAATGTAAGTATTCAAAGACTGAGTTTGATAAAAACTATGATTGTCAAACACTTTTATAGTATAATGATATGTTCATTTTTTTTTTTTTTGAGATAAAGTTTTACTTTGTCACCCTTAGCAGAGTGCTATGGCATCATAGCTCACAGCAACCTCAAACTTGTGCTCAAGTGAGTCTCTGGCCGCAGCCTCCCAAGTAGCTAGGACTACAGGTGCCCACCACAACGCCAGGCTATTTTTAGAGACGGGTTTCACTCTTGCTCAGGCTGGTCTCAAACTGCTGAGCTCAGGCAGTCCATCCACATTGGCCTTCCAGAGTGCTGGGATAACAGGCCACTGCCCACCAACAAAGCCTTTCTTACTTCCTTTCTTTTCCTTCCTTCCTTCCTTCCTTCCTTCCTTCCTTCCTTCCTTCCTTCCTTCCTTCCTTCCT